AGTGGTAGTGGTAGTGGTAGTGGTAGTGGTAGTGGTAGTGGTAGTGGGAGTGGGAGTGGGAGTGGGAGTGGGAGTGGGAGTAGCAGTAGCAGTAGCAGTAGCAGTAGCAGTAGCAGCAGGTAGTAGCAGCAGTTGTAGTAGCAGCAGCAGTAGCAGTAGCAGTAGCAGTAGTAGCAGTAGTAGTAGAAGTAGTAGCAGTAGTAGCAGTAGTAGTAGTAGTAGACGTAGAAGTAGAAGTAGAAGTAGTAGTAGTAGTAGTAGTGGTAGGCACTACTACCGCCACTGCTGCTACTGCTACTGCTACTGCTACTACTACTGCTACTACTACTACTGCTACTACTACTACTTCTACTTCTACTTCTACTTCTACTTCTACGTCTACGTCTACGTCTACTACTACTACTACTGCTGCTACTCCTGCTACTACTGCTACTACTGCTACTACTACTGCTACTGCTACTGCTACTGCTACTACTACTGCTACTGCTACTGCTACTCCTACTACTACTACTACTACTGCTACTACTGGGACTACTACTGGGAGTACTATTGGGACTACTACTGGGACTACTGCTACTACTGCTACGACTGCTGCTGTTACTGCTGCTGCTACTACCACTACTATTATTACTATTGCTATTTCCACTACTATCACTACGAAGAAGAAAACTCTTTGGCTTTCGGGATGCTATTTGGTCACACAAAGTCCCACGTCAACAGCGACCTTCATTGAGGCACTCCTCGCTGTGCGTGCCGTGTGCTGTTCGGTCCGGACCCAAACAGAAGCCGAATAGCTTGGGGGTTCAACTCATTAGAGGCTTGAAGAAAGTGACTTCCTGGTAGATTTTTGTGCTTTGAGAAGAGCTGTGAAGAGCCTGAAGACTTTGCCCCGGGCCTTGTGCAGGGCAACTAGGAGTTGCCTGAGGCTGGAACTATCATGGCCATTGTTGAAGGAGGAGCGCCAGCGCCTGCCCGCAGATCAATCACCGATGGCACGTTGGCCTGGTCGGATCGACTTGAAGAAAGATCTAAAGATGATTTGTTCTGGGTGGCGCCACACAGAAGACCGAAGCGTAGCTGTTCGTTTTTGTTTGTCTCTGTCTCCTGTGCTTGTCGTTCACTGCTGCAGACTCAAAAACTGCGGGCAGGATCACAGAACAGATCCAACCAGAAGGAGCTGGGCTGGACATCTGGGGTGGGAATCTTCTTGCAAACACTCAGACTTCACATAGCAGAAAAACACGATGACTTAGGGCCACGAATGGACGGATCTTGGCTTCACTGATTGATTCGGTCAAAGACACCACTTGAGACCGCGGAGGCCCAGAAACGTTCAAGTGGACATCGGGTCCGGGAGCCCACCCGGCGGCCGAAAACGAGCGGCCACGACGACTCGACCAGCACGGGAGCCCACCGGCTGAGGTGAAGGCTTGGCCATCCGGTACCGAGTACAACAAACAGGACAGGGCGGACAGCCGTGAGACATCGTGAGACACAGTCGTGGGAGAGGGCTGAATTGAGGTGAAGGTGGCCCGAGCCACGTGTTCGGTGTGCTGGCCCTGGTGGTCTGGGATGTTTGTGTTGAAACACAGCGCAGACACGTGCTGGGACGATATGAAGTGACTCGAAGAAGGACAAGTCGGACAACGCCAAAAATTCGGCATTCTTGTCTTGCATCGATCACCGAGCAGACCGTCCACAGGATCATATTGAGGGCCGTGCCTGCTCCCCAGATAAGGCGCTCCTATTTGGTTGGACTTTGGAGGCTTAGGCCTGACTAAACCTCAACCCAAAACG